CACAATAAATATATTATAAACGTCTACTACTTTATTGAAGTCTTTCTTTGTATGAATCATATTTTCAGGGCAAACACAGATGAGTATTTGACAAAACAATCTGTATAGAAAATAGGAGTTTCAGTTCAGTGCCAATCAACAATATGCCCACTATACGCGGCTGGCCCCGCGCCCGTCCTTGCCTAGCTTCGAGGATCAGACGGAGATCGGCATTCTCCTATGGTGGTTGGCCGTAAGCACGGGTGGTATGGAGCAGGTGCCTCCTTGGACCCTGCTGGCTGCGGTCTCTCCTCCCCCAGAAATGATGCGCTCAGGCCTTTACAAAATCGGGTCTCCAGTGTGTGACCTGATCATGTGCCAGGACTGGTCTGAAAAGGAGTGGTGTGCAGCATTGAGCAATGTGTGCACCCCATCAAACCATGATTAGACTTTTCGGCCCTGTATATTACTGTGAAACTTCTGGGATTCGTGCTGTTGCGGTAGTTTGTTGTCCCTCCTCCCTCCTCACAGAGGCCTTTAAATTGTAAAATGAGAATGCTGTGAGCTATACAAAAAGCTAATCAGGTTGGAGGGAGACGTGCACACAATTTGCTTCAATGCTGCACAACTCCTTTCAGTCCGTCTGCCAGCATGTTCTAGGTCAGCACACTGTGACCCGGATTTTGTAATGGCCTGAGCGCTCATTCTGGGGAGGAGAGGACCGCTGCTGCAGGGGGTCAGGAGGCACGCTGACTCCATACCCCGTGCTTACGGCCAATTACCACCTTGAGGATGCCCGATCTCGTCTGATCTGGAAGTAGGCATGTCGGCCGCGGGGGCCTAGCCGGTATAGTGGGCATATTGTTGATCTGGCCACTGAACTGAAACTCTATTTTCTATCAGGATTGTTTTGTCAAATATACTGTTGTTTGCCTGAAATATATGATCAATAAAAAGAAAGACCTCAATAATGTATGACTTTATATACTAGTTTTGTGAACAGATGTAAAAACAGAGATTATTACAAATTTAAGAATTACACTTTGAAGAAAAAACACAACATGCTATATTTATCTTTTAAACTAGTATTTGTGTGATGAGCCTTGTGACTGTGACGGTGAGAGTGACTATACAGAACTGTAGATGCAGGACTTTACTAATGAAATTTTTATAATTTAGATATAATCCATATTAAGTATATATTTACTTAATAATTAAAATATTTATAAAACTTTATGAACAGACAGGTATAATATAGTAACTATATTACAATAGCTACAATAGACAGCATATAGCTCATTTATTTACACGCCACTTTCCCTCTCCCGGTCTAAAAAGGAGACTGCTGGAACATCTGCGTCTCCATCCCATGGTCCTTGTACAGGGAGAATACTTTGGCAGGGCAGTGATGTATTTTCCTGACAGACAGGGATCTGTGTATGAATGTGAGGACTGAGTCCCTGCTTCTAGCTGCAGGTTTGCAGAACCAGCACTTTCTCCCAGTGGAGGAGGTGGACTCATCACTCTTTCTTTTCTTTTCCTGCCGCTAATTCATCTCTGCTGCGTGGGCCTCCGCTCTCTCTGGCAGAACTCAGGTTCATAAAGTATCGGAATGGCATCCTGGAGTTGGTCAAACCATCTGTGCGATAGGTGTTATAGACCCTTGTGGTAGCAGTAGAAATACCAGGTAGCGGTCCGGCTGGTAAAACTCGTGGATGGAGCTGCCATCGCCTCATTTTTGGATTTTGGTGGCACAAGACAGGCATTTCTTTGGTGTGGGGTTTATTGTGCTGGAGGCGGATGCTGCTTTGCCCAGTTCCGTGCACAACCTTTCTCTATGGCGCTCCTAAGACAGCGGTGAAATGGTCTGAGCTGGAGGAGGGGGGTTCAATGCTGAGGGGGCATGGTGACAAACAGGCACTGTGAGGTTCTTACTGCTGCTGTGAGCGATGTATTCCCCAGCACTTCAGCCTGGTCTGAGGCATCACATCCTCTCACTCGCAACAGAGTGAGGGAGGTTATCCCTCATCACCTCCTCCTCTGGAGACCGACTCCCTCTTATTGACGGGTCGTCCTGAGCTTTCGCCTCCTCCGAAGGGTCCTGCAGCAGGAATCCACGTGGGCCTTGTGAAAAATCCACAGTGACACGGCCAGGAAAAAGAATGAAATGTCTTCATATATTCACTGTACAGGCACCACAGTCATGTTGCGATTTATTGACCATTTTACTGATACTACTTTCATTCGTGTGCCAAGATTTTGATTGTTTTAGTTATTACAGGTTGATTTTAATGACATGTTGATAATGTTGATGGACAGAAAGGCAAGGAGCTGGCATCTGTTACTTGAGACCTTTGGTTTCATTCAGCTACATGGTGGCCCCACCCACAGCAGGGGGCACACTCTTGACCCTGCTTATTACAAAGGGGTTAATGTATTCAAATGTTATGTAGTTCGGATGTTGCTTTGTCAGGATTCAATTTCTGTGTATTTTTTGACATGTGTTTTGCTAGCAAACCAACACAGCTGAATGTACAATTGCTAGAAGAAGACACATACATGAACAACACAGGTGAACTGTTCATTGGGAATGCTAAAATTTGAGAAAACTCCCTTGCTCTACTGGTTGATGAATTGTATAACTCTGTCACCACGTGTTCTGAAATGTTCGGACGCAATTGCTCCTGTTGCACGGTTAAATAGTTACCATGTAGAATAAAGGCCCAATGGACTAAGGGCAGATCGGTCAGGGCACAGAAGCAAGAGTGCCGGAGGGCCGAACGGAAGTGGCGAAAAAGGTCCAATTTCCAAGGGGGGCGATATGAAATCTTTAAAGATGAGTTGGGTGAATTTAACCGGGTTCTACGAAGAACGAGAAATGTCATTTTTCTGAACATTTATTGAGTGGTTGCAGTAACATAATTTTCGTGTTATGTTTTCAACAGTTGGTAGTTTAACGTAACCCCCCTGTAAGTTGCCCCTAGAATTTTACCTATAAATCTAGTGTAATGTGTTCGCCACAGTTTTTCGATGACAAAGGACAAGGAATCAAAAACCACTATCACCTCCACAGCCGTATAACCCACCATGCAACAGCTAGAGAAGCTTTTTGAGCTAACTCACTTTGAACCTGTGGATACTGAAACTGTCAAAGATAATCATGAGTCTGAGCTCCTCCACATGTAGCCTGGATATATTGCCCTCTAAATTCTGAAGTCAGTCCTGAGCCAGTTTGTTACTTCACTGACACAAATAGTTAACAGGTCTCTGTCGTCAGGGAACATTTCTATGGCCCTAAAGCAGCAGTCATAAGACCTCTCTAAAAAGAGCAGTTGGATCCTGCGGGACTTCAAAATTATCGCCCCATATCAGGGAGCTGTAGGTGGGGAAGGTGCTGCTGAAGATGATGGAGCAGCCACTGCTGCTGCTGTATCCACTGCTGCTGCTGAAGATGATGGAGCAGCCACTGCTGCTGCTGAAGATGATGGAGCAGCCACTGCTGCGGCTGTATCCACTGCTGCTGGTGGTGCTGTATATGCTGATGGCGCTGATGAAGATGTGGCAGCTGCTGATGATGCTGGTGGTGGAGGCGTTGAGCTCTTTCGGAGCCGTGGAGGTGTTGAGTTCTTTTGGAACCTTGGAGGTGTTGAGTTCTTCTTGAATCGTGGAGGTGTGGAGTTCTTTTGAGGCGGTGGGGGTGCAGAGACCTCGGGAGTCGGTGGAGATGGTCGTGATGGTTGTAGAGTCCTTGTACAGTCCTGCACGTAGGCCATATTGCTATCTAATACTAACAGTTATATGTCCAAAAAGTACACCAATACATGGGGCAGAACAAAAGTACAACATTTGCCTTTCAGTTAAATAAATCCTGTACCAGGCCTGATAAAAAGTTAGTTACTGATATAAAACACGTGATTCTTTGAGAAAAAGAATTAACCAAAATGCAGAAATGATTTCAGTTACTTTTAGAATTCCCCACAAGATGGCGCCGTCAGACTGTTTACTGTTAGCTGAGTTTCATGAGATCATGGTTGATATATAATAATATGAATATATGAAGGGACTGGGCGAGGATCGACATGATAAAAAAGGGCTTATTTCTGCTGAACATGATGCATTTAATTTAAGGCCATCCATCCATCCATTTTCTACCCTTTAATCCATTTCTGGGTCAGGGGGGTGGCAATCAGAGATGCCACCCAAGTCTCATAGCACCAGCCCCTCACTGACCCTCTGCAGGTGATGAGTCCACAGGAGGACAGCTGCTCTCTGAGTGTGAGCATAGCCTTGATTTTTCAGTGGGGGCTTTGGGCAAAGTGGGGTTAAGTGTCTTGCCCAAGAACACAACGACAGCAGTCATCAGTGGGAGTCGGTGGAGAAGGTGCAGAGGTGGGAATTGAACCCACGACCTTCTGGCCTTAAGGCCAATGCTCTATGTGTAAAATAGAAAATAGCAGTCGTTTAGCAGTTGATTAATTTGTTGTAAGTGTTGTTGACTATTTATTATACAAATTACAAGGATTTCTATCTGCAAACTGCGAGAATGTGAAGGAATTTGGCAAATGAAAAAATATTTTAGTATTTGCTTTGCAGTTCGATAAAAGTGCAAACTCAGTATTTATATTTTACGCATAGACTGTATATATTAAATTTTACGTCGTCTTTTGTAAACACAAGATGGCCGCCACTGCCACGGAACAAAACTCGCTCTCTAAATTTTCTAAAATTCTGAATCTCGCGACATCATGCGGTAGTGTTTAGTCTTTGATTCCATAGGTGGAATTTCTGCAGTTTTTATGCTAATTATACTAAAATAAAGCAAATTAAGCAGTTTTATTAGACTTCACGCTTTTACCAACGTAATTTCAGCTACTTTTTTATACTTAAGGCTTCATTATCCGCTCCACGCTTGTAATTTCATTGTTGTTAGCCGAGTATGCTAACTGTCATTGTTGTGCTAAAATCATTGTTGGCTCCTATTCTCATCAAAACTCGTATTAATACGTAACCTTTGTGAATGTATGGCCACAACACATTTACTCAAAGCCGTCCATCAGATTGGGAAAGGATTAATTAGGAAATCATATTGGATAAACAGTGGAAGAACCTCATCAGTGGTGACAGTTCCAGTTGTTTTGTAAGTATACAGGGAAATGCAATCATAACAGCCTCACAGAATGTTTTCAGATCATTAGAACAAGTTTCGTTCAAAAATAAGTCTTTTTGTATAAATATCCCAAAACCTTTTTATCCGCTTTTATACCCTTCATATCAAATCTCATTCATATTAGCATTATTTCCAATCCTGCTCACTTCCTCATTTGTTTTACTGCTATTTCCAAAGTTTGTGCTTTTGTGGCTTAAGTGTTCCTTTTGGGTTTTTGTTACATCTTGATGTGTTATTATTTATTCCAGTATGACCTCTCTCACTGATTTTGAACCACTGGCAAAAAAAATTAAAGTCGAGAAAAGCTGCAACAATCCCACTACTACTTCACCCACCCCAGGTATACATACATATAATAGGGTTACTGCAGGAAATAAATCCTAACCCTAACCCTCATATCTCTTTTCCAGCTTCTTCCTCAAATCAGATTTTAGCTAAAGATGCGGCATACTCCTCAGACAATGCCATGGATTTGAAAGCAAAGAATGGAGCAGGACCCGCAAATCAAAATCAGCCAAAGAAGTTCAAAAACACACTGGATTGCTGGTTAGTAAAGCCACAGGCCTCTGAAAAAATGGCAAAAACAAGTGAGGGGAATCCTGTTCAGAGCAAGATGGAGGACAATGTAAACAGCCAGAGCACAGAGCAGAGCGTGTGGTCGAACTGCGAAGAAGAGACTCAACTTTTAACGTCTCAAGAGCTCTTGGAAGCCGACGCCTCCAACAATATGGATGCCTCTCCCTCTCCCTCGAAAAATCCAAAGATTACACACTTCTTCACAGGTTCTTCTGGTGGTAGTGCCTCCATAAAGCGCAGTAGGATGGACATTTCCGACGGCTCGGAGGAGGTGGAGGAGGAGGAAGAGCCTGATGTGAGGTGGTTAGGGACACCCATAGAGGAGCTGAAGAGGAGGCCTCAGTGTAGAGCCTCTTTGCCCAAACTTAAGAATGATCCACAGATTCACACTGTCATGATACGGGTGAGGACCAGGGGGGCTTTAATTTAATCTCTTTTGGACTGTATAGAAATTCACTTTATATCTATACTATCAAAACTTGAGTTGTATAATAGTTCATGTTATAGAAGCAGGTGCCAATAAAACTCTATGGGAAAGAAGCAGAGAGATGCCAGAGAGATGCCATAGAGATGCCATAGAGATGCCATAGAGATGCCATAGAGAGGCCATAGAGAGGCCATAGAGATGCCATAGAGAGGCCATAGAGAGGCCATAGAGAGGCCATAGAGAGGCCATAGAGAGGCCATAGAGAAGCCATAGAGAGGCCATAGAGAGGCCATAGAGAGGCCATAGAGAAGCCATAGAGAGGCCATAGAGAGGCCATAGAGAGGCCATAGAGAGGCCATAGAGAGGCCATAGAGAGGCCATAGAGAAGCCATAGAGAGGCCATAGAGAGGCCATAGAGAGGCCATAGAGAAGCCATAGAGAGGCCATAGAGAAGCCATAGAGAGGCCATAGAGAGGCCATAGAGAGGCCATAGAGAGACCAGAGAGAGACCAGAGAGAGGCTAGAGAGAAAATCGCAAAGGCTTTGTTTGAAACCAACCGTATTAAACCAGATTCACCAGTCAATACACTTCCTTTTCATTATGAGTATGAGTATTATAAAGGGTAATATATGTTTTCCTGTGCCGTGTTTTCAGACGGACCTGCTCGCCCCCGGCTCTCCCCCTGGGCCTCACCCCAAAGTGTTCCAGGACGTTTGGGACGATGTTCACGTCAAAATGCCCTGTTCCACCAAGAATCTGTTTCCAGTGAGAGACCAGGTACAGGTGCTGGTGTCTGCTCTCTCTCTGCTCTCTCTCTCTACTCCCTCTCTCTCTGATCTTTCTCCAAGCTGTCTTTGGCCTCTCACTGGTCTCTCTCTCTGGTTCTCAGTCTGGTCTCTTTGGTCTCTCTCTAGTCTCTCTTCGGTCTCACTCTGATCTCACTCTGGTCTCACTCTCTGGTACTACATAACACATGTATATCTATCTCTCACCATGTCACCATTCCACACAGTCTTATCAATAAATGGACCCATCAATATATATTTTTTGAATCAAATGAAATGTGTTGAATTATATTTAAACTCATTACGGACTGTTGTTTTTGGAGGAAACGGAGGAGCTGGAAAACAAAAGCCGCTGGGAACTGATCGAAGAATCTTTGAGGGAGGAGTTCTCAGATGTTCTCGACCTCAAGGTGAATTTCAATCCATCAAAACGTTTATTTCAGAACATGTAGAATCCAGATCCAGCGAACACCGCACACACTGGTGCACGTCTGGAAAAGGGTTAGATGAAGCAAAAGCAAAACGATACAAAAACCTTGAGAGGCTGCACCCAATAAAACAGTATAATGTAAATATTGTCTTCTTAATCACACAAACTGAAAGAAAACTAATATACTAGTCTTTAAAAACTCAGATATAACCACTAGATGGAGACATACGCCTAAAGATTCCTCTTCATTTAACACGATACTAGTTAGAATGTCTGTACTTTGAACAACACGTTTATTATGATCCTTCAACTTCTGTATATAAAGATTAACCCTCGATTTTGTTTCCACAGGAGGCCATTTTGAAATACAACGCCTCGTACGCAAAGAAATGGGACTTCACTGCGTTGGATCTCTATTGCACCAAGGTGAAGAACGTTTTCATTATACCAGTGAGAGAGACCAGCGAGAGGGACCAGCGAGAGGGACCAGCGAGAGAGAGCAGAGAGAGAGAGCAGAGAGAGAGAGCAGCGATGGAGACCAGCGAGGGAGACCAGAGAGGGAAACCAGAGAGGGAAACCAGAGAGGGAAACCAGAGAGGGAAACCAGAGAGGGAGACCAGAGAGGGAGACCAGAGAGGGAGACCAGAGAGGGAGACCAGAGAGGGAGACCAGAGAGGGAGACCAGAGAGGGAGACCAGAGAGGGAGACCAGAGAGGGAGACCAGAGAGGGAGACCAGAGAGGGAGACCAGAGAGGGAGACCAGAGAGGGAGACCAGAGAGGGAGACCAGAGAGGGAGACCAGAGAGGGAGACCAGAGAGGGAGACCAGACCACTTTTGTCTTGTGTGCTTTCGTTGGTGTCTTTGGCCCAGACGCAGACACATGTTACACCTCACAATATTGAGTAATTAATTAATGAAGAGTTGATTAGCAAGAGGAGTTTAAATGTTTGTCCATGGAGCTAATGCGGCAGATGGCTCGTTAGTCTGCATGTAAGTACATCCAGCTGCTGTGGAGCCTTTAATTGGATCATAAATTAGATTAAAATACGGTTTACGATATTTTGAAGTGGTTGATTTAATGTGGAGCCAGCAGCCAAGCGAGACAAGTGTATTCTGTGCTAACGTAGACATTTAGTTTCTTTCTTCAAGGTTTGAGTTTTGCCCAAAACTGTGATCTCTAGTAAAATCCTCTCTCTGGTCTCTCTCTCTAGTCTCTCTCTCTATTCTCTCTCTGGTTTCTCTCTCTAGTCTCTATCTCTGGTCAGTAGCGGCTGTATGTAAAAAGGCTGTAAAACCCTCCCACTTTATACACTTTTCTAACCACCTGAACTCACCACTGCTGATGTGAGAGAGACCAGAGAGTGAGAGAGACCAGAGAGTGAGAGAGACCAGAGAGTGAGAGAGACCAGAGAGTGAGAGAGACCAGAGAGTGAGAGAGACCAGAGAGCGAGAGAGACCAGAGAGCGAGAGAGACCAGAGAGCGAGAGAGACCAGAGAGCGAGAGAGACCAGAGAGCGAGAGAGACCAGAGAGCGAGAGAGACCAGAGAGCGAGAGAGACCAGAGAGCGAGAGAGACCAGAGAGCGAGAGACCAGAGATGTCGTAACATGATGCAAAGCTTTCAAAAGCCGATATAGCACAATATATCTCCTATTGTAAAACCATCTTCACGCCCGTGCACTCCCATCTCCCCCACCCTCCTCTGCTTTATCCATCCATCTATCACCCCCTCCTCCCCTTCCTCCCCCTCTCCCACTGTCTGGCGTATATATATAAATCCACTACAATAATCAATTTTCCGACTTGTCTCTTCTCGTGACACCCAACTTTGTTACCGTCTCTCCTTCCAGTCCATTTCCCAGCGCATAAACAAACACGTGTAGCGCTCTTCCGTAGACGCCGGCGTTCCAAATTGATTCCTGTCATTCCGAGCTCGGCCTGTAATAGGTTTCGCACACGTAGCATAAGTGGGAGACGGAGAAAAAATGTTTATACGTTTTCGGCAAAAGGTCAGATTTGGGGAGTTGTCAAAGCGGAAATAAATAAGGAATCGTGACGAAGTGTTAGTTAAAGCTTACTGTTGTGAGAAGCCTTTGTGCTGATTGGAATATTTGATACGGATTCATGGAGAGAAGCCTGGAGGCAACAGAGAGAGAGAGAGAAAGAGAGAGACTAGAGAGAGAAGCTCGAGAAAGGGACTAGAGAGAGGGACCTTGAGGCAATAGAAAGAGAGAGAGAGAGAAGCTAGAGAAAGAGACTAGAGAGAGGGGCCCGGAGGCGAGAGAGAGCGGGATTGACACACTATAGTGAGAGAGACTAGAGAGAGAGAGAGAGAGACAAGACGTAGAGAGTAGAGAAAAGCCTGGAGGCGACAGAGAGAGATACTAGTGAGAGAGACTTGAGAGAGAGGCAAGAGATAGAGATGGTGAGAGTAGAGGTAGAGACCAGAGAGAGGCCTGCGGGCGACAGAGGGAGAGAAAGAGAGAGAGTGAGTATCTTTTTTTATTTTTTTTATTAAAATTCAATACAAAATGTACACATCAAAGTACATCAAACATAATGGAGAGAAGGATCAGTATTGTATTAGCGACAGAAGCTTTACGTGGACATTTCTCTGAGTGTTACTCGAGGGCAGTTCTGTGTCTGTCCTGGACCCTGACCCTGTGTCTCGGCCTCAGACTGAGACGTGAACGTGTGATGGACGTGTGGAGCACATTGAATATTCATGTGTTCATGTGCAGACGTGACAGTGACAGTGTTCAGATGGACGGTTCACTGAAGCGGAGCCCCAAACACAATCTTCATACCGTTTTCATTCGAGCTGATTCATAATTATAATGATATAGTCTTTAAGGTGCAATAATGGCGTATAGAGAGATGGACATAGAAACTAAAAACTTTCAGAAAACCAAAGAAGTGGCTATTTATTATCACTTTTATCCAGTACTGAGGCTGTAGACCCAGGACTGAGGCTGTACAATGCCTTGCGAAAGTATTCGGCCCCCTTGAACCTTTCAACATTTCGCCACATTTCAGTCTTCAAACATAAAGATATAACATTTAAATTTTTTGTCATGAATCAACAACAAGTGGGACACGATCGTGAAGTGGAACGAAATTGATTGGATAATTTAAACTTTTTTAACAAATAAAAAACTGAAAAGTGGGGCGTGCAATATTATTCGGCCCCTTTACTTTCAGTGCAGCAAACTCACTCCAGAAGTTCAGTGAGGATCTTTGAATGATCCAATGTTGTCCTAAATGACTGATGATGATAAATAGAATGCACCTGTGTGTAATCAAGTCTCCGTATAAATGCACCTGCTCTTTGATAGTCTCAGGGTTCTGTTTAAAGCGCAGAGAGAACCATGAAGACAAAGGAACACACCAGGCAGGTCCGAGATACTGTTGTGGAGAAGTTTAAAGCCGGATTTGGATACAAAAAGATTTCCCAAGCTTTAAACATCTCAAGGAGCACTGTGCAAGCAATTATATTGAAATGGAAGGAGTATCAGACCACTGCAAATCTACCAAGACCCGGCCGTCCCTCCAAACTTTCATCTCAAACAAGGAGAAGACTGATCAGAGATGCAGTCAAGAGGCCCATGATCGCTCTGGATGAACTGCAGATAACTACAGTTTGAGCAGTTTGAGATGAAAGTTTGGAGGGACGGCCGGGTCTTGGTAGATTTGCAGTGGTCTGAAACTCCTTCCATTTCAATATAATTGCTTGCACAGTGCTCCTTGAGATGTTTAAAGCTTGGGAAATCTTTTTGTATCCAAATCCGGCTTTAAACTTCTCCACAACAGTATCTCGGACCTGCCTGGTGTGTTCCTTTGTCTTCATGGTTCTCTCTGCGCTTTAAACAGAACCCTGAGACTATCAAAGAGCAGGTGCATTTATACGGAGACTTGATTACACAGAGGTGCATTCTATTTATCATCATCAGTCATTTAGGACAACATTGGATCATTCAAAGATCCTCACTGAACTTCTGGAGTGAGTTTGCTGCACTGAAAGTAAAGGGGCCGAATAATATTGCACGCCCCACTTTTCAGTTTTTTATTTGTTAAAAAAGTTTAAATTATCCAACAAATTTCGTTCCACTTCACGATTGTGTCCCACTTGTTGTTAATTCGTGACAAAAAATTGAAATTTTATATCTTTATGTTTGAAGCCTGAAATGTGGCAAAATGTTGAAAGGTTTAAGGGGGCCGAATACTTTCGCAAGGCACTGTAGATCCAGGACTGAGGCTGTAGACCCAGGACTGAGGCTGTAGACCCAGGACTGAGGCTGTAGACCCAGGACTGAGGCTGTAGACCCAGGACTGAGGCTGTAGACCCAGGACTGAGGCTGTAGACCCAGGACTGAGGCTGTAGATCCAGGACTGAGGCTGTAGACCCAGGACTGAGGCTGTAGATCCAGGACTGAGGCTGTAGACCCAGGACTGAGGCTGTAGACCCAGGACTGAGGCTGTAGACCCAGGACTGAGGCTGTAGACCCAGGACTGAGGCTGTAGACCCAGGACTGAGGCTGTAGACCCAGTGAATAGTCTCATTGTAATTGTTAATGGACATAAACGAGGTGTGATACTTCTTCTGTTGTGTCAGAGACCCTCGATTACCTCACAGGCTGAAAGGTCACGCTGAACGGCTGTATTTCACGGCGGGGCTTTAAACCTGGCGCCCGTTACCCACGGCTCGGTCTCTGTGTGATTACGTTGTCATGTTGTGATGTAGCGCCAGCCGTAACATCAGCTGCCTTGTTTGTCCTGTCAGTGTCTCTCTCTGTTTTCTCTCCCTGTCCCTCTTTCTACTCTTTCTCTTGTCCCCTTCTGGTCTCTCTCTCTAGTCTTTCTCTGTTCTCTCTAGTCACTCTCTAGTCACTCTCTGGTCTCTCTCTGGTTTCTCTCTGGTCTCTCCGTGGTCTCTCTCTGGTCTCTCTCTGGTCACTCTCTGGTCTCTCTCTGGTCTCTCTCTGGTCTCTCTCTGGTCTCTCTCTGGTCTATCGCTCTGGTCTCTCCCAGGTCTCTCTCTGGTCTCTCTCTGGTCTCTCCCTGGTCTCTCTCTGGTCTCTCCCTGGTCTCTCTTTCTGGTCTCTGTCTGGTCTCTCTCTGGTCTCTCCCTGGTCTCTCTCTGGTCTCTCCCTGGTCTCTCTTTCTGGTCTCTCTCTGGTTTCTCTTTGGTCTCTCGCTGGTCTTTCTCTGGTCTCTCTCTCTGGTCGGTCTCTGGTCTCGCCCTGGTCTCTCTCTGTTTTCTCTCTCTGGTCTAGCTCTCTAGTCTTTCTCTGGACTTTCTCTTTCTAGTCTCTCTCTGGTCTCTCTCCGGTCTCTCTCTCTGTGATTACCTTGTCATGTTGTGATATAGCTGCAGTAGCATCAGCTCTCTGTTCGTCCTGTTAGTTTGACGTACAGTCTGGTTCAGGTCCTGCTTCGTCGGCGGAGCATCTATAACCGCCGCAGAGACGTTTATGAGCTGACGGACGCCATTACTCACCACACTGTTTAGTCAGGGCTCGCGCAGGCCGAATAAATGTACTACTCGTCTTAATACAAACCAAACGCTGCTTTCCCTGCTCTTAAACCAACCAGCATTCATTTTGTGAAGCAGTTTTGTAAAAGTAAATTGTTGGGTCTCTGGTTCTCTCTCTTTCTGGTTTATCTCTCGTTTTCTTCTCTATCTGGTCTCTTTCTGGTTTCTCTGGTTCTCTTCTGTCCCTGATTTCTCTGGTTCTCCTCCATGGTTTCTCTCTCTCTCTCTCTCTCTCTCTCTCTCTCCCTGGTCTCTCTCTCTCTGGTCCCTCGCTGGTCTCTCTCCCTCCCTCCCTCTCTCTCTGGTCCTCTCATTATCACTTTTCTGTCTGAAAAAGCAGATCTAAAGATGTGACAGAGACAAAGTTTACAAACCTGTTAAAAAAAAAAAAGACTAGTGATAGAAGGAAACTGTTTTAGAGCCAGGAACCAGGACCATCAGCCAATCCTCATACACCAGCAGCGATGACAGCAATGACACAGCCCTGGTCTTTCAGGCAATGTGGGGTTGTGTCGCTGGGCAAGTGTCCAGTGACACAACGACAGCAGCCTAGGTGGGAGTACCTAAATGTTGAGCATAAATGAATGACCATAAAAACTCACACATCTGTGTCATGGTAATGTGAACGGAGACCTGAGACTCAGCTCTACATTTGATTTTATTAAATCACGGCTCGAACGTCACCGACATATGAACGATAAATACATGTGGAGGAAGCACTGCTAATCACATCAGCTCTCTGGTCTCTTTTTCTCTCTGGTCTCTCTGGTGTCTGTCTGGTCTCTCCCTGGTCTCTCTCTGGTCTCTGTCAGACTGTCTAAGGTCTCTCGTGATCTCTCTCTTGGATCTTTCCGGTCTCTCTGCGGTCTCTCTCGGGTTTCTCCCTGGTTTCTCTCTAGTGTCTCTCTCTGGTCTCTCTCTAGCGTCTCTCTCTGGTCTCTGTCTAGACTCTCTCTGGTCTTTCTATTGTCTCTGTCTGGTCTGAAACGTCACCGACGTTTAGAGGATATAGAAAAATAAACATAGATAATCACATCAGCTCAAACAGCAGCAGGAGGATCCCCCTGAGTCACTTTGTGCCTCTCTGGGTCAGGGTTGGGTTTTCCCTCTGTGGCATTTACACTGAACACATGGATTTGTCTGGGGACATTTCTAATCACATTACTGTATCCTGAGGTTTTCCACAGACTGTAAATATCAGTGAGTCATGCTTCAGTTTATGAGCAGAAAAGGGAATGACAAAGGTTTTTATGGAGGATCTCTGCTTTAACAAGGTTAGCCAAGTTTATTTACACAGCACCGTTCATACACAAGACAAATGAAAGAGCTTAACAAAACAATACAGTCATTAAAATCATAAATAATCACAGTACATTAAAAAGAGGAAAGATAGAGATCTGTAGCCAGCAGGAGTCCAGTCCCTGTGCTCCTCTCAGTCCCAGCAGGAGTCCAGTCCCTGTGCTCCTCTCAGTCCCAGCAGGAGTCCAGTCCTTGTGCTCCTCTCAGTCCCAGCAGGAGTCCAGTCCCTGTGCTCCTCAGAGTCCCAGTTGGTTCATAATGAGACTAACATGTCTCGGTGAGGGAGGAGAGAGCAGTGTCTGCAGTCAGAGCTCTTGATTTACCGCTCAGCTACCAGTCACCTCTGGTTATGAGGTTTGGGTAACGACCGAAAGGACGAGATCATTAATGGGCTGCTCCCTTAGAGATAGTGTGAGGAGCTCTCGGAGTAGAGACGCTTCTCCTCCAGGTGGAGAGGAGCCAGTTGAGGCTTCTGGACGCCTCTCTGGGGCGAGACCAGCGTCAGGAGACCAGGGGAAGACCCAGGGGACACAGAGGGACTGTGTCTTACTGCCTGGGAACACCTCAGGATTCCCCCAGATGAGCTGGAGGAGCTGTGTGTGTGAGAAGGAAGTGTCTCTGCTCAGATTGTGTGTTCAAATCCCTCATCTGCCTCTGGATCCAAATGTAAATGTGTTTCAGGTTCTGGACTCGGACTCAGCTGAACATCTGTTTGAGTGTGTGCTGCCAGAGATGGTCCAGTTATCACTGAGGGCTCCACAGCTGCTGACCAAGGTATGTGTGCTACTGCTGGTACTACTGCTGCTGGTACTACTGCTGCTGGTACTGACCAGAAAGAGAGAAACCAGAGAGGGAGACAAGAGAGAGAAGAGAGAAAGATCAGAGGGAGAGACCAGAGAGAGAGAGACCGGAGAGAGACCAGAAGTAGAGAGCAGTGAGAGACCAGAGCATAGAGACTGTGCAGTTTCAGAGCCTCCTTCTCCTGAGTCACAAATGAGCAACTTCCACAAAAACAAGATCAAAGGTTAAACATTCTTTTCCTCATTAGCAACATTCAAACACACACATTTTATTCCCTGTTTATTGTTTCACTTTGTAAAGAATCTAGTTTCTGATCACTGCTCCTGCTGCAGCTGTGTGTACCTGGTTTCTTGCTGCTGATGGTACTGTACTAGGAGTGTCCTGGTGAAACCATAAATGTGATGTGGTTAAGTAGCTGCTATTGAACAAACTGCCCATAAACCTGCTCTGACACTGTTCGATAGGCCAGGCCTTGACCCCAGCGTTTGGTTGCATTTAGAGAGATTTAGAGAAGACAGAGGAGGATGGGGGAGGAAGAGGGGTGAGGAGGGGGAGAGATGAGACGTGAGGCTGGGGTCGGTGCCGATACAGTTATAGAGATGATGCAGGATCAGAAGAGTACAGTAAGAATACAGTATCCGGAGCAAAGGTTCTAGTTTCTTTTTGTTTCATCGTGTTTAAACATGGCATTTATTTATTTTTTATTTAATGATGTATATTTTGTGTGTTCATTTTATTTACATTTGTATATATTTATTCATTTAACATTTTTATTCATTTTGTTATATATGTTCTTTACATTTGTAGTTCCATTTAAAGATATTTTTTCAATGTGATTTAATTATTTCTATTTAATATAATTATTTGTTTATTCTATTTTAGTTTAATTGAATGTATTTTTATATTCATGTGTATTTCAAGTTCACGGTAACATCAGCTCCGTTGATTAGATCATAATAAATAAGTATCTCTGAGTTGAATGGACGGACTTCATGTGATGACAGATAATTGAAGTGGTTCCAAACTGCTCTTCTTTTGAAATGAGTCAAGGTTATTTATATAGCACCTAAAGAGACCAGACCAGAGAGAGAGGCCAGAGAGAGAGGCCAGAGAGAGAGGCCAGAGAGAGAGGCCAGAGAGAGAGGCCAGAGAGAGAGAGAGGCCAGAGAGAGAGGCCAGAGAGAGAGGCCAGAGAGAGAGGCCAGAGAGAGAGGCCAGAGAGAGAGGCCAGAGAGAGAGGCCAGAGAGAGAGGCCAGAGAGAGAGGCCAGAGAGAGAGGCCAGAGAGAGAGAGAGGCCAGAGAGAGAGAGAGGCCAGAGAGAGAGGCCAGAGAGAGAGGCCAGAGAGAGAGGCCAGAGAGAGAGGCCAGAGAGAGAGGCCAGAGAGAGAGGCCAGAGAGAGACCAGGGACCAGAGAGAGGCCAGAGAGAGACCAGGGACCAGAGAGATAAAGCAGAGAAAGAGACCAGCTGTGAACCAGGACTAACCCAGACCTGTGTCCGCAGCCGGTGCCTCTGCTGAAGCGTGGGAAGAACCACTCGGTCTCTCTGTCCCAGGAGCAGATCTCATGTCTTCTTTCAAATGCCTTTTTCTGCACGTTTCCCCGAAGAAACTCCCGGAAAACAGAGTACCGCAACTACCCCGACATCAACTTCTTCAGGTAAATAATCTACACGGGAGAGGCACACTTTAGAAGTTAGAGGCCAGTCTCTCATCTCTCTGTGGCCTCTCTGTGGCTTCTCACTGGTCTCTCACTGGTCTCTCACTGGTCTCTCACTGGTCTCTCTCTGGTCTCTCTCTGGTCCCTCTCTGGTCCCCCTCTGTGGTCTCTTCCTGTCTTTCTGGGGTCTCTCTTTCTCTCTCTCATCTTGCTCTGTTCTCTCTCTCTGGTCTCTCTCTCATCCCTCTCTGGTCCCTCTCTGGTCCCCCTCTGGTCCCTCTCTGGTCTCTTTCTGGTCTCTCTCTGGTCTCTCTCTGGTCTCTCTCTGGTCTCTCTCTGGTCCCTCTCTGGTCCCTCTCTGTGGTCTCTTCCTGTCTTTCTGGGGTTTCTCTCTCTCTCTCATCTTTATCTCTCTCTCATCTTTCTCTCTGTCCCTCTCATCTTGCTCTCTCTCTCATCTTGCTCTGTCTCTCTCAAGTCTCTCTCACGTCTCTCTCTGGTCTCTCTCCCTGGTCTCTTTCTGTTCTCTCATCTCTCTCTGGTCTCTCTCGGGTCTCTCACTGGTCACTCTTTGGTCTCTCTCTCTGGTCTGAATATTGTCATTGAGAATGTCATACTATTTTCTCACTTCCATCCACCTTCCATCACACTATATACATACAGTACATAGCAGTCTTCTTGAATGGCCTCTCTCCATTACGCACGTACATGCATAGATTCCTCAAGGCCGTCTGCAGTAATTCAGAGTAATGCCTTATCAGACCGGTGCTCGCTCGTGCCTGTCTCTCTGGCATCGCTCTGTCGGCCTAAATGCACCAGGATTAGATTAAAGTTGATTTAAAGATGGCGGCTGCGACAGGGGACAAGGCCAAAGGCATCTGTTCGCATCAGCGTTTCATTCAGAAAAACCTACACTCGGGTTTTAGTGCCGTATTAAAGCTGGGGTACCTAATTGTAGTTAAAATGCATGTGTGTTTGTCGCAAAAGAAAGAGTCTTGTAGATGTTGGAAAGTATGTGAACACCTGCTGTCTTCATCTGGATAGAAAATGGCTCTCTCCCTTTCTGGTCTCTCTCTATACTCTCTTTCTGGTCTCCCTCTCTCTCTCTCTCTCTCTCGGGTCTGGTGTTTCTCTAGTCCCTCTCTGGTCCCTCTCTGGACTCTCACTCTGGTCTGTCTTTGCTCTCTTTCTGGTCTCTCTCTCTCTAGTCTGGTCTCTCTGGTCTCTCTGTGTTCTCTGGTCTCTATACTCTCTCTCTAGTCCGTCTCTCTGGTCTCTTTCTCTGGTCTCTTTCTGTGGACTCTTTTGTAGTTTGTACAAAGCAAAAAACAGATTTGTCCCTTGGGAAAAATTTGTGTAATATCTCTGTTGTAATCGGTTTGTTAATTTTGCGCAATAAATTATCCTTGAACGACCATTAAACTTACTGAACTCATGTCAGATAGACTGTGTAAATGTGGTCTCCTGGTGTGGCAGTTACAGACCAGCAGTGACAGACCAGCAGTGGCCCTTAACCTTCTCCCTGTTACATCACTCTCAGTGCTCCTTCTCAGTTTGATATTATGTAAGCCTGGCTTGTCTCACTCTGGTCTCTCACCTGGTTTCTCACCTGGTCTCTCTCTTTCTTTGGTCTCCGTCTCTGGTCTCTCTTTTTAGTCCCTCTCTCTGGTCCCTCTCTGGTCTCTATCTGGTTTCTGATTTTTCTCATCTTTGTCTGGTCACTCTCCCCTTGGTATCCCACTGGTCTCGGGTCTCTCTCGCTGGTCTCTCTCGCTGGTCTCTCTCTGGTCTCTCTCACTAGTCTCTCTCTGTTCTCTCTCTCTGGCTTAACTCATTTGAAATAGACTGTATAAATGTATTTTCTGGTGTGGCCGTTAGAGACCAGCAGTGGCAGACCAGCAGTGGCCCTTAGCCTCCTCCCTGTTACATCACTCTCGGTGCTCCTTCTCAGTTTGACATTATATAAAGCCTGGCTCCTGCTCCATCACCAGAGCATGTACGAGGCCGTCTCTCCAGTGTCCAGTCCACTTAAAGACCCAGCGCCCGAGGGGAACTCTCCAGCCATTTTCCCTCCGATAAAAGCCCAGTGAATGGTCTGCATGTGACCTGGACCATGCACGGCCACAGCGCTGGTTTGTGTGTGTGCGCCTGAGACGAACAAGCGGAGAGCAACTTTACAGAATTATTGTGGGAAGTTTCAAAGGAGGTGGTTCTCTGCCTCCTCTCCTTCATCAAGTTTGAGCTAATGGAAATCCATGTGGTGGTTCCATAGAAGGGACAAATCAACATCTGGTGTCTCTTTGGTCTCTCTCTTGTCTCTCTCTGGTCTCTCTCGTCTCTCTCTCGTCTCTCTTTGGTCTCTCTCTGGTCTCTCTCTCTGGTCTCTCTGCTCTCTCTGGTGTCTTTCTAGTCTCTCTCTCTAGTCTCTCTCTGGTCTCTATCTTCTCTATTTAGTCTCTCTTTTTACTCTCTCTTTCTCTGGTGTCTCTCTCTTGCTCTAGTCTCTCTGCTCTCTCTCCCTGCTTCTACCATACAGTTGTATTGACACCTACCCAAAAACACTGAAACACAACTCTCCAACAGTAACACAACTTCTAAATTGCAGCCTCGTACAGTCTTTGTGTTGTGGTCATGTTGCTCTCCACAGAGGTCGCCCTATGCCCCCTCAGGACCACTTACTCAAAATGGTGGTTCCCTAATGCCTGCCCCCCCTCCCCTCCTCCTCTTCCTCATCGCTCTTTATGCGAGTGCCGTGAAGTGAGAGTGTAACAGTGGTAGATGGAGCGCCCGGAGGCAAACCCGTCTACAGCGAGTGAAAGAGACGTGAGTGAGGGCTGAACTAATTTGGATCAAAAGTTAAAGCTTGACTGAACTCACATGGGACCGGACCGCGAGGAGAGGAGAGAGCTTCTATTCCACAAACTCTACTCTACTAGTATATATGTGCTTCAGTGGTGACAAGAGACCTGAATTTACTTTATCATTATCATTTATCATTATGATCCTGTGGCCATTATATACAGTTTTGTACATAAACATATCTATATAATGTGTGAGCCCTGAAACTTTATGTGAGAGTGAGGACTGGACTAGAATCAGAATTATTATCATTGTACAGAAAGTGTCCTGGACTCAGCAGATCTCTGTTTGTAAAGTGGATGTGACTTTGTGTGTTCAGGTTGTTCGAGGGCTCGTCGTCCAGAAAGATCGAGAAACTGAAGACTCTGATGTGCTACTTCAAAACAGTCACCGAGCAAAGTGAGCGGGCGGCCATTTTGAGCATAGTCCACAAGTGTTTAGAACAAGGCCTGGTCTCACTAAGATGTCTGACCAGAGAGAGGCAAGGAGAGACCAGAGAGAGAGACTGCAGAAAGAGAGACTACAGAGAGAGAGAGAGAGACTACATAAAGAGATACTACAGAGAGAGAGAGACTACAAAGAGACCAGAGAGAGACCAGAGAGAGACCAGAGAGAGACCAGAGAGAGACCAGAGAGAGACCAGAGAGAGACCAGAGAGAGACCAGAGAGAGACCAGAGAGAGACCAGAGAGAGACCAGAGAGAGACCAGAGAGAGACCAGAGAGAGACCAGAGAGAGACCAGAGAGAGACCAGAGAGAGACCAGAGAGGTTTAAGCAGCATCACCCTCCATATAACATCACACACCCTGAATAATAGTCATTTTTTTCAAATTTATCCAGTGCCAAACGGAGTCGTCACATTCACACGACGAAGCCTGGAGAACCCTGTCGACTGGACGAGGTAACAGACCCTACTCTAAGATCAGATCCTTTATTCGTCCCACAGTGGACTCTAATATACGTTACTCTACTCTACTCTACTCTACTCTACTCTACTCTACTCTACTCTACTCTACTCTACTCTACTCTACTCTACTCTACTCTACTCTACTCTACTCTACTCTACTCTACTCTACTCTACTCTACTCTACTCTACTCTACTCTACTCTACTCTACTCTACTCTACCCTACCCTACCTGGTTGTGTTTCCATTACACTTAAGTATCAGGTACTGTATCAAAGCAAACCGACCCACAACAAACCAGTACCTGTGGAAATTCCTTGATAAACTCTGCTTCCAGCTGTACTCTGGCCAATCACTGTCAGTTAGAACACTTTAGTACCAGCTCTGGATAGAACCAGGACCAAGGGGGACTGATGAAGGACCAGGTACTGGTTACACAGGACCAGTGGAAATGTTACCAATCAGGGGAGAGTAGAGTAGAGTAGAGCTGATGGAATCAGCACCATTTCATCTCTAAAACATAATTTGACTTTTCAATGTATTTATCCTTGTATTTTACAGTTCGTTGAAGCAGTTCACCCGGCTCCACATCAGCTGTGACGGCACCATCGAGGACGACGGGCACGGGATGCTACAGGTGGATTCTGAAGCTTTTTTTCTACTGCTAAAAAATTACTTCAAATCCCATGATGCATTTCCTGCTTAGTCTCTTTGGTCTAGAGAGAGACCAGGTAGAGTGAGAGACTAGAGAGTGAGACCAAAGAGAGAGACCAGAGAGAGAGAGCAGAGAGAGAGAAGAGAGAGAGAGCAGAGAGAGAGAGACCAGAGAGAGAGAGACCAGACGGAGAGAGAGACCAGAGACTTGTTCCATTGGCGAATGTTCCATGAGAAAAAGTCTCATCATAACTTTTCTGGTAAATATTATCAGTCTTTGCTTTTGACAAAAACGGAAAATGTGATTTCTATGCAGCCCTGAATATGAATCACACCATGTCCTTCTATAACTGGGCTCTGGTCTCTGTGCTCATGGGGACAGTGTTGGGGTTGTGGTCCCTCTGACAGCCTGTCACCCCCTCCTCCTCCCCCTCCTCCCCCCCTGTCCGTCACTCCAGTACAAACCCTTGGGACTGGGAGCTGTCAGACGCACAAACAAAAGGGGAGAGACCGGGTTTCCTGACAGAAGGAAGAAGCCAAAAGTTAAAGTGGAGAGAGTAGTGCAATAATGGAATCCCCTGTAATAATGACATCTGTGATTTTCTAAATGGTTGTGGATGAGTTTCTTTATCCTCTCTAGTCTCTCTCTGATCTCTGGTCTCTCCCTCTCTGGTCTCTCTCTCTGATCTCTGGTTTCTCTTTTGTTTCTCTCTGGTTCTCTCTGTGGTTTCTCTCTCTGGTCTCTCACTCTGGTCTCTCTCTGGTCTCTCTCTCTGGTCTCTGTCTGGTCTGACCTCTCTCTCTCTCTGGTCTCTCCCTGGTCTCTCTCTCTGGTCTCTCTCTGGTCTCTTTCTCTGGTCTCTGTCTGGTCTGACCTCTCCCTTTCTCCCTCTCTCTCTCTTTGGTGGCTCCCTGGTCTCTCTCTCTGGTCCCTTTCTGGTCTCTCCCTTGTCTCTCCCTGGTCTCTCCCTGGTCTCTCCCTGGTCTCTCCCTGGTCTCTCCCTGGTCTCTCTATGGTCTCTCACTCTGGTCTCACTCTGGTCTCTCTCTGATCTCTCCCTGGTGTCTCTCTCTGGTCTCTCTCTCTGGTCTCTCTCTCTCTGCTCTCTCCCTGATCTCTCTCTCTGGTCTCTCTCTGGTCTCTCTCTGGTCTCTGTCTGGTCTCTCCTCTCTCTCGCTCCCTCTGGTCTCTCTCTCTGCTCTTCTGCTCTCTCCCTGATCTCTCTCTCTGGTCCCTTTCTGGTCTCTCTCTAGTCTCATTGCGTTCCCCTTTGCGTTTGTCACCAGGAGGGGTGTGGGGTCTTGTTATTGTTGCTTTTATTTTGACACATTTGTGACATAGAGAAGGTGAAAGAGCTGGAGGTGACGCGTGACGTTTCCACAGAAAAACACAGCGTTTTGAGCTAAAGCCAAAAGCAAAACATCAAAACAGAGACGCTAACGCTAACACGCTGTCCCTCCAGGTCTGAACCACAGACTTTATATTAAAAGGCATTTATTGCGTTGAGTTCTACTAGAAAGCTTTTACACTGGTTTTCTGATAAAGGACTCTGCTGAATGCTGCTTGTTCTTCTGTTGATTGTTCAGATAATAGAATAATCAATGCAAGAAAGAAATGGATTTTATTTGGTTAACAAAAAATAACAATGGATTTGGATTGGATAACATTGTTTTTGGCCCATCAAAATATCATGAGATCATATACTTGGAACTTTTGTCAATTGAAGTATCTCTGCTGTCCCTCTCTCTTTGGGGTCTGTCTGTTCTCTGTGGTCTCCCTGTGGTCTCTCTCTGGTCTCTCTCTGGTCTCTCTCTGGTCTCTCTTGTCTCTCTCTGGTCTCTCTGGTCTTTCTCTGTTCTCTCTCTCTTTATAGTGAAGTACCTCTGTATTCTTTCCCCAAATCTTTCAGTTTTGCTTTGACTCCTATTGTACCTGCCCAGAGACCAGCACGAGACCAGACCAGACTGTGCCTATCCATGACTTATGGTTGGATTTTCACAGGTGGACTTTGCAAACCAGTCTGTGGGCGGAGGCGTCACCAGTCTGGGTCTGGTCCAGGAGGAAATCCGGTTTCTGATCAACCCAGAGCTGATCGTGTCTCGACTCTTCACCGAAGCTCTGGACGACAACGAGTGCCTCGTCATCACTGGTACCTCTGCGCTTCATGGTTCCTCTTTCACAAACACACAATTTCTTATTCAAACCACATGAGACCAGAGAGCGAGACCAGAGAGCGAGACCAGAGAGCGAGACCAGAGAGCGAGACCAGAGAGCGAGACCAGAGAGCGAGACCAGAGAGCGAGACCAGAGAGCGAGACCAGAGAGCGAGACCAGAGAGCGAGACCAGAGCGAGACAGCGAGACCAGAGAGCGAGACCAGAGAGCGAGACCAGAGAGCGAGAGAGCGAGACCAGAGAGCGAGACCAGAGAGCGAGACCAGAGAGCGAGACCAGAGAGCGAGACCAGAGAGCGAGACCAGAGAGCGAGACCAGAGAGCGAGACCAGAGAGCGAGACCAGAGAGCGAGACCAGAGAGAGCGAGACCAGAGAGCGAGACCAGAGAGCGAGACCAGAGAGCGAGACCAGAGCGAGACCAGAGAGCGAGACCAGAGAGCGAGACCAGAGAGCGAGACCAGAGAGCGAGACCAGAGAGCGAGACCAGAGAGCGAGACCAGAGAGCGAGACCAGAGAGCGAGACCAGAGAGCGAGACCAGAGAGCGAGACCAGAGAGCGAGACCAGAGAGCGAGACCAGAGAGCGAGACCAGAGAGCGTATTGAGGTATAAAAAAAAAGCAAAGTCACCTGTTCCATCCAGCAGCAGGAGGCCACTCTGTCAGTCTCTCTCCCCGCAGACAGGGCCTGGTTTGGGGCTTGTCTCTGCAGGGGGTGGGCCCCTGGATCTGGTCTCGTCTGGTGCTGTCGCTGATTGTGCGTCTGAGAGGCAGCAGATGTGCTTCTGTGATTGCTCTTCAGGCTCCAGTGTTGTTCATAAATAAAAAAGTTCAAGAGAAAACAGGAGATAGGACTCTGCAGGAGGCTGATGTCCGTGCAGTGATGGACGCTTCGTTTTCTGTGATTAAAGCTGGGGCATGTAACTTTCAAACCACAAAAATACAATGTAATAACATCCATGTCACTCGCTTCTTTTTGGTCTCTCTTTCTGGTCTCTCTCTGCACTCTCCAATCTTTCCAATATCTCTCTCTCTCTCTCTCTCTACTAAATCTGCCCAAAAACTCTCAAGTTCCAGTTTCCTGGGCTGCCTTGCATGAACCACAGAGTCCCCATAGCAGCTCAATATATGCCTTCACAACCACAAACAATCGGGATAGAGAGAAATGAATTATCAATCAAATCTAAATGACATAATTTGTGCTTTGTCACGACGACGACATTACATCATACTGTCTGATTACATCACCATTTATCTCCATTTTGCTATTCCTGCGTTGTCACGAGTCACCTTGGCGGCCATCTTGCTCCTCCCTCTCCTCCAATCCACTCAACTTTATTACTGCTGCTAGAAATAAATTGACAGACACGACTTGCGCTGGACCCTCTTTAGCTAATGTTTTCTCCTCCTCTGGTCTCTCTGGTTTCGCAGCCTCTCTCTAGTCTCTCTTTGGTCTCTCTCTGGTCTCTCTCTGGTCTCACAGTCTATCTCCGGTCTCTCTCTTTGGGCTCTCTCTCTGGTTTGTCTCTCTTTGGTCACTTTCTCTGGTCTCTCTCTCTGGTTTCTCTCTCTTTGGTCACACTCTCTGGTCTATCTCTCTCTCTCTCTGGTCTGACAGTCTCTCTCTGGTCTCATTCCACTTTATTACTTCTCCTTGAATTAATTACGGAGAGACTCGACCTGTGCAGACCCTCTTTAGCTAATGCATCCTCCTCCTCCGTCCACGTTATTAAACCAATACTATTCCTTCTCTTCCTTCGAACCGAGCAAAGTCAGGCGACGTTCTGGCCGTAAATCAGATCCTTGGCATAGCGACATGAAGCTAATGGACAGTAGCGCCGCAGCGGGATTAGCCGGAGTGGCCTGGAGTAATTGAATTGAGTTTGATCGGTGGGCAGCCATTTTGAAGGCGGTCACAAGTATAAATATAGGACAAAGGAGAGATAAGGACTGGGCAGCGATGGAGGAACAAGCAGGAGTTTTATGGTCTGTTTGGCACCTGGATCAATAGTCTCTACTTCTATTCATTTATATTAGGCTCTTTCTCTCTGGTCTTTGATCTCTCTCTGGTCTCTCTCTCTGGTCTCTTGCTCTGGTTCTCTCTCTAGTATCTTTCTCTCTCTTGTCTTTCTCTGTTATTTGACTGGTCTCTCTGAACTTCTTCTCTTGTCTCTAGTTGCTCTCTGGTCTCTCACTCTCTCTGAATTTCAAATCTATCATTTCTATTATTATGTTTTTGTATTTCCTCAACAATGGAAATAAAGCAGGTGTAAATGCCTCATTTGTGTTGTATTGTACTAATTGTCAATACAACAATACAATATGTATGTGTGTCTGTGTGTGTGTCTGCTTCACTGATCTGATGAATGAAAGAACCTTCTGTGTGAATATTTTCAGGTCTGATATTTCAGCTGTTTGTCTCTTTGAAACTATTCTCTGTTTTGTCCACAAACACATTCCTATTGATTCCAAAGGTTAAGCTCTGATTGATGTGATAAATACTTTCTCCTGACAAATCGCTCCTCTGTCTCTGTACAGTCTCTCTCCTCGTTCACCTCTCGCTGTTTAGTGTGTGGTTTTTGTGATTCTTTTGCAGCTTTGTGTTTACTCCAGCAACATCATAAAGCTTTTATTATTATAACATCACTGTTATTATTTTATGTCCGAAGAAAACCTTTAATGCCCTCTCTGGTCTCTCTCTGGTCTCTCTCTGGTCTCTTTCTGGTCTCTCTCTGGTCTCTTTCTGGTCTCTTTCTGGTCTCCTTCTGGTCTCTCTCGGGTCTCTCTCTCTGGTCTCTCTCTGGTCTCTTTCTGGTCTCTCTCTGGTCTCTCTCTGGTCTCTCTCTGGTCTCTCTCTGGTCTCTCTCTGGTCTCTCTCTGGTCTCTCTCTGGTCTCTCTCTGGTCTCTCTCTGGTCTCTCTGGTCTCTCTCTGGTCTCGCTCTGGTCTCTCTCTGGTCTCTCTCTGGTCTCTCTCTGGTCTCTCTCTGGTCTCCCTGTGTCTGCGTAAGTTTCCTCCGGGTGCTCTGGTTTCCCATACCTCTAAAAACATGTACAATAGGTCTGGCATGCGCCTCCTGTACTGGCGACCCCGCTCCCATCTCTGTGTGGAGTGAGAGACCCACAATTGTAAACCGCTTTTTGACTGGTCTGTGAAAGGCGGTATATTAATACACATTACTTACTTACTTCTCTGGTCTTTCTCTGGTCTCTCTATGGTCTTTCTCTGGTCTCTCTATGGTCTTTCTCTGGTCTCCCTCCGGTCTTTCTCTCTGGTCACTCTCTCTGGTCTCGCTTTCTGGTCACTCCCTCTGGTCTTGCTCTCTCTGGTCTTGCTCTCTCTGGTCTCTCTCTGGTTACTCTCTCTGGTCACTCTCTCTGGTCACTCCCTCTGGTCTTGCTCTCTCTGGTCACTCTCTCTGGTCACTCTCTCTGGTCTCTCTTTGAGTATGACTGGTCAACACTTCTGCATGACCCTAACCTTTTGGACGCCTGTATCAAAAACAGATCTATAGATGTGACGCAAATACATTTTATTGTGGCTTGAAAGTTACAAACCCCGGCTTTAATTGGCTTTAAACATTCTCCTTAGATTTCAAAGTTTCAGAATAGTTTCCAGACTAAGACGACGAGCTCCATTATTACTGCTCACATGTCCGTATATGACATTGTAGAAGCAGCTTCTTGTTGATTAGGAGCCGGTTGGGGATCAGCAGAGAGGAGGGCTCTTGAATGCACAGTGTAATCAGACTTAAATGATTCTAAAGAGGGAGACGGAGGCTTCAGGCTGTGTTTAAAGTGTGCATTCAGAACGTACATTTTCAGCAAAACACACAAACCATAGAAAAGTGGAAAAACAGTGTATTTTGCTGCTAACCCCAGGTGTCCAACCGATTTCTTTAGTGAACAATATGGTTGCCAGCCCTGGTGCTCCTGCCCTTACTTTAAAGCTGGGGAACCTAAATTTCAAGCTCGTTTTCATGTATAAGAGTGACCTCACCACCCTCACTGAGCCAACGAAATGTCAGTCCACAGACGACACATGAGATGAAGACGCGAGTCGTGGTCTGATTACTCTTTCTGTTGGGACAAACTATATGTTAGTATGGAACAGAAACTTAGGTCCCTCAGCTTTAACTGTGGTGTTTGTGTTTCAGGCTCACAGCAGTTCAGCAAATACACAGGATACTCACAGACCTACAGATGGGCAGGACGACACCACGATACAACTGCAAGGTGTGTGTGTGTCTCTGTGTGTGTGTGTGTGCGTCTGTCCGTTGTGTGTGTGTGTGTGTGTGTGTGTGTGTGTGTGTTACCATGTCTGTTATTGTGTTTCCCTGTTGCACACAGAGACGCCTGGATGAGGAGGTGCACCGAGATCGTGGCCATCGACGCTCTGCAGTTCAGGAGCTTCATGGAACAATTTAAACCTGAAAAAATCAACAGAGAATTGAACAAGGTGAGAGACCAGAGAGAGAGACCAGAGAGAGACCAGAGAGAGAGAGACCAGAGAGAGAGAGACCAGAGAGAGAGAGACCAGAGAGAGAGAGACCAGAGAGAGAGAGACCAGAGAGAGAGAGACCAGAGAGAGAGAGACCAGAGAGAGAGAGACCAGAGAGAGAGAGAGACCAGAGAGAGAGAGAGACCAGAGAGAGAGAGAGACCAGAGAGAGAGAGAGACCAGAGAGAGAGAGAGACCAGAGAGAGAGAGAGACCAGAGAGAGAGAGAGACCAGAGAGAGAGAGAGACCAGAGACCAGAGACCAGAGAGACCAGAGACCAGAGAGAGAGACCAGAGAGACCAGAGAGAGACCAGACCAGAGAGAGAGAGAGACCAGAGAGAGAGACCAGAGAGAGAGAGAGACCAGAGAGAGAGAGACCAGAGAGAGAGAGAGACCAGAGAGAGAGAGAGACCAGAGAGAGAGAGAGACCAGAGAGAGAGAGAGACCAGAGAGAGAGAGAGACCAGAGAGAGAGAGAGACCAGAGAGAGAGAGAGACCAGAGAGAGGGAGACCAGAGAGAGGGAGACCAGAGAGAGGGAGACCAGAGAGAGAGAGACCAGAGAGAGGGAGACCAGAGAGAGGGAGCCTATGGAACCTAGGCTCGCGGCACGGTGGCTGAGTGGATAGCACTCTCGCCTCTCAGCAAGAAGGTCCTGGGTTCGAATCCCGGCCGGACCAGGGCCTATCTGAGTGGAGTTTGCATGTTCTCCCTGTGTCTGCGTAGGTTTCCTCCAGGTACTCCGGTTTCCCCTACCACTAAAAATATGTACAATAGTTCTGGCATGCGCCTCCTGTTCGGCGACCCCGCTCCCATCTCTGTGTGGAGTGAGAGGACAAGTGCCCAAAAGATAACAATTGTAAACCGCTTTGTGACTCTGGTCTGTGAAAGGCGGTATATAAATAAAGCTTACTTACTTACTTACTTACTTGTTGCTGATGAGGGCCTCTGTTGGGAGTTGATCTTAGCAGCAAATGTGAATAATGTGTTGCAGGCGTTCTGTGGGTTCGCGCGGCCGGAGGAGGAGGCTGAGACTCTGGCAGCTGTGGCCACAGGGAACTGGGGCTGCGGGGTGTTCGGGGGAGACGCCCGGCTCAAAGGTACAACAGTAACAGGGTTTTCATCTATCACTATATAAATCTCCTGTGTTTAATGTTTGAATGGGACTTTGGTTTAGTCAAAGTTTAGTCCTGCTTCAGTCTTGGTTGAGTCCTAGTTTATTCCTAGTTTTAGTTCTTGTTCAGGCCTTGTTTAGTCCTGCCTCATTCCTAGTTTAGTCCTATTTTAGTCCGGGTTTTGTCCTGGTCCAGTTCTTGTCCAGTTCTGGTCCAGTCCTTGAAGGTAACTCCAGGCCGCTCCACACAAATCCATCACATTTTGTTTTTATCGGACGTTTTTAACTCGTCTTCCATCGTGAAGATCTGGAAACATTTACTGAACTCAGCGTCACCTCCTCCCATCGACCTGACTCCTCCTCCTCCTCCCCCTCTCCCATCGACCTGACGCTAACGCTAGTGTATCATTAATAGAGGATCGATGGCAGCCGCGGCCATCGCTCTGGAGGGAAGTGTCCGCCTGCTGCTGCTGCTGCTGCTGCTGCTGCTGCTGCTGCTGCTCTGACAGCTGTGATAATAGAAAAGATTCAACCAATTATAACAAGTGACGGAGTTTAGAAGTCTGTGTGAGAGAGGAGAATAAAGCTGGGGTCTGTAAGTGAGAGAGAGACCAGAGAGAGAGAGGAAAAAGAGAGAGGCCAGAGAGACGGACCAGAGATAGGAGGATAAAAAAGAGAGAACAAAGGGAAAGAAGAAAGTGCCTCAGCTCTAATTAAACTAACAACAAAACTAATATTTTTCTCTCTCACTCACTCACTCACTCACTCACTCACTCACTCATTCACTGTGTGTGTCTCTGTGTGTATAGCTCTGCTCCAGTTGTGTGCTGCTGCAGAATCAGGTCGAGACGTCGCATATTTCACCTTCGGAGACAAACAGCTGATGACCGACGTCCACCGGCTTCACTGCTTCCTCTGTCAGAGACACACGACTGTCGGTGAGGCCCCAATCATACCGAGCCCTCTCTCTGTGTTCTCGCCCTGGTCCCTCTTGTCTCTCTGGTCCGTCTCTTGTCTCTCTGCTCTCTCTCTCTGATCTCTCTCTGGTCTCGCTCTGCTCTCTCTCTCTGGTCTCTCTCTGGTCTCTCTCTGGTCTCTCTCTGGTCCCTCTCTTGTCTCTCTGCTCTCTCTCTCTCTGATCTCTCTCTGGTCTTGCTCTGCTCTCTCTCTCTGGTCTCTCTCTGGTCTTGCTCTGCTCTCTCTCTCTGGTCTCTCTGTGGTCTCTCTGTTAAACCAGTGAGTTTAACACAGAAGTACAGTATCACCTCCATCTTGGAAACCTGGGACCCACAGGACCTGGTGGAGGTCAGAGTTCCATATGATTTCCTTCTGCAGAGAGAGGTCTGGTGTCTCTCAGACCTGCCCTGATGATGAAGATCAGATGATGTATCTGTTATACTTGGTGCGTGTGGACCCTGAGAGAGAGAGACCTCCCTGGAGGGGGTTAGGTAACAAACTATGTACAGGAGGAGCAAATGGAGCATGATTGTGGTCACAGAGAAGGAGAAGGATTAATGAGTCAAAACAGCTGCGAACATGAACCAGGAGCAGAGCAAACGATTTGTTTTATCAACCTTTAAAACCATAGTTTTAGATCAGTGTCAAATATAGCAGTCTCTCTCTGCTCTCTAGATGGTTACCATTCTATCTCTGTCTCTGATCTCTCTCTGTTCTCTCTTTCTGGTCTCTCTCTGGTCCCTTTCTCTGGTCTCTCTTTGTCTCTCCAGTCTCTCTGGTCTCTTTCTGTCTCTCTGGTCTCTCGGGTCTCTCCCTCTCTGCTCCCTCGCTGGTCTATCTCTGGTCTATCTCTGGTCCCTCTCTGGTCCCTCTCTAGTCCCACTCTGGTCCCACTCTGGTATCATCTCTGGTCTCTCTCTGGTCCCTCTCTGGTCTCTCTCTGGTCTCTCTCTGGTCCCACTCTGGTCTTTCTCTCTCTCTGGTCTCATATCTGGTCTCTCTGGTCCCTCTCTGGTCCCATTCTGATCTCTCTCTGGTCCCATTCTGGTCTCTCTCTGGTCTCTCTCTGGCCTCATACCTGGTCTCTCTCTGGCCTCTCTCTGGTCTCGCTCTGGTCTCGCTCTGGTCTCTCTCAGGTCTCTTTCCAGTCTCTCTCTGGTCTCTCTCTGGTTTCTCTCTGGTCTCTGTTTTCTCGGGTCAACACACACCCTGGTTAAAGGCCTTAAGAGCCTGAACTCTTAACAGATCAGATAAAATAGCCCAAAGTTACACACTTACAGTACATTACAGTTACCCACATCCACACCATGTTATTTTTCTTAACCATCAAACGCTGCTTCTCTCCTTCTCTTCTTCAGGTGAAATCTACAACACTCTGGAGCAGTACTACAGCCGCCACATCCTCTCCTGCTCCGGACGCCGCCCCGAGGTCTCACTCTACACGTTCATTTACAGAACGCTGAGCTCCAGTCCTGAACCAGCAAAACTCTAAAACGCACACAGACTGGAGACCATGAAACGCACACAGACTGGAGACCATGAAACACACACAGACTGGGGACCATGAAACGCACACAGACTGGAGACCATGAAACACACACAGACTGGAGACCATGAAACACACACAGACTGGGGACCATGAAACGCACACAGACTGGAGACCATGAAACACACACAGACTGGAGACCATGAAACACACACAGACTGGGGACCATGAAACGCACACAGACTGGAGACCATGAAACACACACAGACTGGGGACCATGAAACGCACACAGACTGGAGACCATGAAACACACACAGACTGGAGACCATGAAACACACACAGACTGGGGACCATGAAACGCACACAGACTGGAGACCGTGAAACACACACAGACTGGAGACCATGAAACACACACAGACTGGGGACCATGAAACGCACACAGACTGGAGACCATGAAACGCACACAGACTGGAGACCATGAAACACACACAGACTGGGGACCATGAAACACACACAGACTGGAGACCATGAAACACACGCAGACTGGAGACCATGAAACACACACAGACTGGGGACCGTGAAACACACACAGACTGGAGACCATGAAACACACGCAGACTGGAGACCATGAAACACACACAGACTGGGGACCGTGAAACACACAGACTGTAGACTATGAAACACACACAGACTGGGAACCATCCAACACACAGACTGGGAACCATGAAACACGCACAGACTGGAGACCATGAAACGCACCATTTCTGGTCCTCTGTGTCTGTATCAGCATTTACCCTGTGCCAAACACTTAAGTAATAAAAAATATGATTTAAAACCGCAAGATTCGTCAGAATGAAACTAGGTCAGAAACTAAATCTGCTCAACCGCCGCCATCTTGTTTTTTATTAAAATCACTCTCTCTATGGAACAAATATGGTTTGTTATCAATCGTCCTGTTTCCGCCAGCTCTACCTACTCAACTCCAGTTTCCCCTACCACTAAAAACATGCACAATAAGTTAAATCCTCCAGCTCCGGTCCTGACCAAGCCGAGCACCAACATCTGGAAATGGGTTCCCGGGCGCTGTTACTACGGCGACCACTGCTCCTGATGTAAGCCTTAGTGGCATCAGGATGGGTCATTTTGCATGTTTGCTCTACTCTAGGGTAGGGTAGAGATTGTGGTAGTGGGACTAATGGGAATCTTTTGTGTATTTAAAAAATGTTGCTCAATATGAATGATCTTTTGTTGGTTTGTTAAAGCTGTTTAAACGATTCTAATGTTTTTAGATTTATAATTGAGAGGAACTTTTTTTTAACAATAAATGTTCATAATTGACGGACTTCTTCTTCTTCTTAGTTGCTCAAGATAATGATGAAAGTTGTGTTCATTTTGTAGACTGGTATTTAGAGAGAGACCAGAGAGAGAGACCAGATAGAGACCAGAGAGAGAGACCAGAGAGAGAGAGACCAGAGAGAGAGACCAGAGAGAGAGACCAGAGAGAGACCAGAGAGAGAGAGACCAGAGAGAGAGAGAGACCAGAGAGAGAGAGAGACCAGAGAGAGAGAGAGAGACCAGAGAGAGAGAGAGAGACCAGAGAGAGAGAGAGACCAGAGAGAGAGAGACCAGAGAGGGGGACCAGAGAGGGAGACCAGAGAGAGGGTGACCAGAGAGAGACCAGAGAGAGAGAGACCAGAGAGAGAGAGAGACCAGAGAGAGAGACCAGAGAGAGAGAGAGACCAGAGAGAGAGAGAGACCAGAGAGAGAGAGAGAGACCAGAGAGAGAGAGAGAGACCAGAGAGAGAGAGACCAGAGAGGGGGACCAGAGAGGGAGACCAGAGAGAGAGAGACCAGAGAGAGGGTGACCAGAGAGAGGGTGACCAGAGAGAGAGACCAGAGAGAGAGAGACCTTAGAGAGGGTGACCAGAGAGAGGGTGACCAGAGAGAGAGACCAGAGAGAGAGAGACCTTAGAGAGGGTGACCAGAGAGAGAGACCAGAGAGGGGGACCATAGAGGGAGACCAGAGAGAGGGTGACCAGAGAGAGAGAGACCAGAGAGAGGGGGACCAGAGAGGGAGTCTAGTGAGTTTTGATCCATGTCATAACATTTTTCCAAACCACATGAATGAATATAATTGAAGCTGTTAGTTTACAGTGAGCTGCTTCTGAATCCAATCGTCTTTTGAACAGAGACTTAAAGGTCACGGTCCGTCCAGCGTTTTTCATGTTACCTTTTACACCTGGTTTAATGAGCTGTCAGGAACCAGCGATCAGAGCAGAAATACCATCGACCAGAGCTGGGATTTAAGCAGAGCAGGAATATTTGTCTGTTTGAGCGTTTGGTAAATACACCTTTACCTTTAGATACTAGCTTTATATGCTATTTGCAGTAAAACCACATATACTGTATGTGCAAGAGTATTCCAGTCTCTCTGGTCTCTCTCTGGTCTTTCTTTCTGGTCTTACTCTACCAGTATCTGAGGGAAATTCCTTGGTAACCATGGCTTCCAGCAGCTGTCTGTAAATTCCTATGTAATGGCTCTTCCTCATTCAGCCATGTTTTATGACAGCCTCAGTCCTGGATCTACAGCCTCAGTCCTGGGTCTACAGCCTCAGTCCTGGATCTACAGCCTCAGTCCTGGGTCTACAGCCTCAGTCCTGGATCTACAGCCTCAGCCCTGGGTCTACATGTGCTTATAGCGAGTGCACACAGGGGGCGCTGTTCTGAGGCCGGTCCAGGGGGAGGGCTGTGAAACCTGCGGAGATTAAAGTGAATGAGAAATCAGCCACAGGTCGATAGTGACATTTACAAACAGAAGACAAGAGAGGAGTAGAGGGTGAAGAGAGGAGAGATGGGAGGGCAAGAGGGAGAGAGGTAAATGTGCACTTTAGGGAAATTTGTCCTCTGCATTTGACCCATCATGATGCCACTAAGGCTTCCATTAGTGGTCGTCGTAGTAACAGCGCCCGGGGACTCATCTCCGGATGTTGATGCTCTGCTTGGTCAGAACCGGAGCTGGAGGATATTACCTGCTGTGCATTTTATTAGTGGTGGGGGAAACCGGAGCAGACACAGGGAGAACATGCAAACTCCACTCAGAATGACCCTGTTCCGACCCAGATTCGAACCCAGGACCTTCTTACTGAGAAGCGAGAGAGTAATCCACTCAGGGCGGAGAGAAAAGGAGGAGAGAGCATTGTCCAATCAGAGCACAGATGACATGGAGCTAAACACACACACCGACACACACAGACACACAGAATCACACACACACTCACACACACTCACACACACAGACACACACTCACACGTGTGTAATCCTCGGCTCCTGTTCAAACAGATGAATATTCAGAGCGATGGTTTAAAAACACAAATCTAATGTTATTTGTGTGTATTTTGTCTTAAACAGATTTACTTTAGAATCTACAGTCATTCTCAGGAGGAAACATCAGAACAACGACAAACACTGGACTGAGACGTGGTCGGGATTAATGATTCTGATGCTGATTCTTTGGCATTTCTTTATCATCAAATCTCTTTTTGCAATTGATCTAATTGTATTTAATAGAAGAAATAGAAAGATAATGAGACCAGAATGATCTGAGTGAGGGACCAAAAAGAGAGCAGAGAGAGACCAGACTGTTGGTCCAGACCCAGGTCCAGGTCCAGGTCTAGGTCTCACTAATGATCCATGAGAAGAAAGCCGTTTCAACCAGAGCGACATGTATAATGGAGGAGGCCTCTTTGGATCTGAACCAGGTCTGGATTTAGGCCCAAATCCACAGTTACACTTTTATAATGATCCAGACCCGACGCTCATTTATTACTAATTAATTGAACGTTCTAGTTATGCTAATTATTGTTTCTATTGGTTTGAGGATTTCAATTCTATTCAATGCATGAATCCAGGACTGAGACTGTAGATCCAGGACTGAGGCTGTAGACCCAGGACTGAGGCTGTAGATCCAGGACTGAGGCTGTAGATCCAGGACTGAGGCTGTAGATCCAGGACTGAGGCTGTAGACCCAGGACTGAGGCTGTAGATCCAGGACTGAGGCTGTAGATCCAGGACTGAGGCTGTAGACCCAGGACTGAGGCTGTAGATCCAGGACTGAGGCTGTAGATCCAGGACTGAGGCTGTAGATCCAGGACTGAGGCTGTAGATCCAGGACTCAGGCTGTAGATCCAGGACTGAGGCTGTAGACCCAGGACTGAGGCTGTAGACCCAGGACTGAGGCTGTAGATCCAGGACTCAGGCTGTAGATCCAGGACTGAGGCTGTAGACCCAGGACTGAGGCTGTAGACCCAGGACTGAGGCTGTAGATCCAGGACTGAGGCTGTTTGTGTTTCTGATCCGTTATGTGGATAATGACACAGATTTTTGTAAATGTTCTGTTGGTGAAGAGTCAGCGCTAAGACAGGAAACGCCCAGAGCAGAGGAAGAAGATTCACCAAACACCATCTATAATGAGACCAGAGAGAGACCAGAGAGAGACCAGAGAGAGACCAGAGAGAGACCAGAGAGAGAGACCAGAGAGAGAGAGAACAAATGCCCATAACAAAACTGGCTCCAGCTTATTTCCAAATCAGCTTTTTCTCCATTAAGGCTAACACTGTGGTGATGTCACACTCTGTCCTTATACATTAAAAAAAACTCCAAAAATATCCACAGTAATTACACTGTTCCGTTCGTTTTGGATCTAAACTTTTATCACTTTTGACTCTCTCATTTCCAGCGTGAAACCTCGGCTCTAAATCCAGGGTCTTCGAGAGCGTCCGTGTTATTTATAAATCCTCGTCTTCAGCATTCCCCACAGAACTGTCCGAGTCAGCGATTCTCCGACGCTTCGGGAAAGATTCTCTCTCAAATAAGACACAGAACCGACTCTGGCCGTGGAGAGGGTCTTAATTATAGTCACGTTAACTTTTGGCGTCTGGGTTTGAGCCGTTAATGTGGCGTTTCCGAGAGAGTTTGGTCTCGAAACACCAGAAAGAGACGAGAGGTT